ATCGTACTCGTGAGGCTAGACGAATAGTGTGGCCGTTGAAGTACGTGTGTTCCTCGTGTGTCATCGTGTGATATCTTGTTGTGTGTATATTGTGATCAATCAACGAGATCTGGACACAACAACCACAGAAGGAGAGGATGAATTCTGACCGCTTTTGCTGTGACTAGCATTCGACAGTGATCTGTCTTGATAATTGTTCCATAAACTTTGTACAGGAGATGGAAAGCCTCGACCAGGTACACAGTGTGATTCGTTTCAGCTAGATGTAAAATCACTGCACTGGTGAGTGACTTAGTTATCCGGTGTTCAGCCACGCAGGGTGGTGTTCACGAATCCGTTTGGACAATTGCCTGATCGTTCAGTTTATTTATGTTTTTCCACAGGAACAAGTAAATGAGCACACACAGAGTCGGGAACTTTGCCCTTCAGTCGTAAACAGACAACTGGCTTGAACTTGAACAACACACGAAGCTTGAATGCATAAAAGGTTTTGTCGATTGGGTCGGATCATCTTCTTGATGATGATCTCAACTAGTGTGTCCTCGAAAGGAGAAGAGATGTACACGGATATTTTCTGAACCTCGGTTTTTTCAAAGAGTTTTCGTTGACTAAACTCGGATCTTTCCTGCCTTATTTGCTGGACAACGAACAAAGTTCCTTTTTATCACAAGCTGCACAAAGCTTCGGAAACGGATGTATTATTGGTCTTTCCAAGTTTCCCTTCTACGCACGAGATGCTGCATCCAACCATCTGATCGACTGGTAGGCCAAACATCTGTAGAAACGGCATTTTTTTTGTTACACTCCATTGCTAAGGTAAATGTTATTTTGGGATGCGCAGTGTTGAACCTGTTTAATAGTTCCGTTGTATTCGATCTTGTGTATATCACACATAAAATGTCATCTCCGTACCGTGTGTATAGTATACAGTCTTCAACCGATGGCTATGATTGGGTGTTTTCAAGTTTCGTCATGAAGATGTTTGGGAAAAGCGGCCCAATCGGGGACCCTATGGCTACACCATCCATTTTGCGATAGATCGTAAATGAACCACGGAATCGAACTAACAGTCATCTGTCGAAGTCTCCTGTTATCAACATGTGTGGAAAGATCACAGAAGTAGGTGTTAGTTTATGTGGTGATTCAGGCCTACGAGATGACGCCTACCTTGGGGCGGCGCGCCACAGTTTTCGGACACCTGTAATCAATCGAATTTCATAGGTGAAGTCAATGACGCGCGTACGTGTCGCTGCTTCTGACTACACACCATAGGCAGATCCTGCCAGCAAAGCCGAGAAAGTGCAATCGAGAGAGAAGCAGAATAACGCTCGCAATACTGGAGTGCGATTGCCGGAAGCCTGGATAACCAATAATCTTTTGTACATATCATTCAATCATCCTCATTTCTTTCAGTGAACGAACTACGAACTACCATTCTTGTGACCTCTTCCCTGCGTCTCATTTATGTGGGACATTGAGTGCTAGTGCCATTTCGGTTCAGTGCTTCCGTGATACACTCCGTGATAGCTGATCCTTGATTCGTAACCTGTGATTCCTATTGCTTGGTTCGTGTTCCGAGTTCCATGCTACTAATACTATTATGATCACTATAGTTTACTTGAAGAAATCAACCGGAAATATAAATGACCAACCAAAGCTTAAACAATTGTGTCTTTGTTCTCTTCGTGAATAGCATGGCTTCTGGTTGGTCGATAAAAATGGCCTGTGATTAGCTATCCTGAAACGGAACTGGTTGACCTTCGTTATTTTGGAGACTTGGAATATCACAACTCTCCTCCTCAAGAGAACCTCATCGATTTAACGTGCCTTTCGTAATGTCAGCAGAGCATTCTCTTCAGTGTGGGTTTCAGGAACATTGGACTGCTGGTTTTGGATTTTGATAGTTAGAAACTCTAGTAATTGAGTATTCTTCAAGAACTTCTGTGAAATTCAATTTCGGATCAGCAAGCTGCCTCATTTGAGGTCAATCGACTTGCCGTCGATGAATCGTCGCGTCTGTCAGATAGATCACCTCCATCATAGCCCGATCAATCTTCCATGATGTGATTCGTCTTGCTAGTCGCAGTTCTCTTCCTCCAGAAATTAACGAAATCACCGGTAACAAAGCTTTGCAGCGAAGGATGCATACGTAGCGCTTTGAACAGATTTGTTTGTCTTCCTCCGGTGGTGGCACGGGCCGCATTTCTGTGTTACAAGTGGAAGTTTTTCGAGTACATCTCCAACTATGACACTGATCTCAGGTTCGTAGATGTAATGACACTTTTCATCCTTCTTAGCAATTTCTCTCCTGTCCCATTCGAACAGGGCTGATGTGGAGTTGTGCACAAATATTGACAACCAATACTATCCAGCCCCAGTTTCATAGGCGTAGCGTAGCAAAACTGCGATCCATTGACGGTCAGCAACACCTGTGGAAACAGTGAAACACCCTCGCAGCTCCTGAAATGTAAGGAATGTAGTCGGCATAAGCGGTAAAAACATCTATGGTCATTTGGAATATGGATAGATTAGCAACAGGGACTACAAGTGACTGAGGAACGACATACAGAAGCCGGTGTTTACACGTTGCCCTGGGAAGCACGGCCTTGGTTAGGGAATCCAGCTCTTCGCTTTCGATTTCAGTTTGTGAAGACACGCTTCACAATTATTCACCGCTAGACTAAATTCTGAAATTAAACAACTTATTCCTTTTTCCTCGTTACGTCCAGTGTCAAAAACGCATAAACTTGAGGCTATCTGTATCCAGTATAGCTACACAACGGAAGTTCATATTCAATTGAATTAGACGAGGATTAAAACAACAGAAAAATTTGCTACCCAGTGACAAATTCTCCAATGTCCTGCTTGGGTACTTCTAGTTTTCCAGGAGAATTCATTTGACGCTTCGTTTATTGATTTGACTTGGCCATTCTTCGTAGCTTATCTTCTCACACAATCTTTGCGCAATGTATCAGTTATGCATATAACCCCTGAAGTATCACATTTAAGTGTTTTAATCTGGTGGGAGAAATCGAAAAAAATGATGGGAAATCTAATCTAGCTGGTTTATCAAAGGATATAGATCTAACCGAGTGTGCATGGAACACATGATTTGAGTTAACAGAAGCTTAACCGTATCACAACTTTGAATGCCGTCAGATGTGATTTGGACCGATTATCATTGCATTTACGCAGTCCAGGACGCAGTACAATACGATTTTCGGAGAAAAATGATTTAAACGATGGTACGAGGACCAATCAGATCGAGATCGGCGAGATAGAAAGTATCAAACAGGTATGAATATCAATTCTGATTGGATAATAGGGTCATGAACAGTGAGCTACCAATATCCTTATTTTTCTCTCCATTTGAATAATATGAACATAGCAACCGCTTCCCGGGATTCACGAAGCTCGAGAGATGATAAGCACTGAGGGGATTTGAGTAGCGAAATATGACCCTTACAAGTGTGTTGCTCAGTTTGATCTGTCTCAGTATCTCAAAGTTTTGATTGACGAAACCGAAACTTCAGTCTGCCACAAATGCAGGTTTTGCTTTCGACGAAAACAGACAAATATTTTATTTGACAGTTTGCAATTTCCTAAAAGTGCTGCTTCAGAGGTGGGTCATAGACTATTCGCGTGATCCCCGGAAATTGCATTGTAGGTCAGTTATGTGCGAAAGTGAATGTAGCAAGAAGATACGAGAAAGCTCTTTGTGGGGAATCATGCTATACTAGTGAAAGACGGAAAATTGTTTTGATTATTCATTCATTTATATTGCTGTACATGTAACAGAAACACTACATTGGTCCATGATTTTGGTAATCCATTGCTTAGAGTTGGCGATAATCAGGGAGCTAACAGTTACAATCTGCTGATAGCCAATCAAAATCGAGCGTTTATGAGCAATGAGATTACCCGTTATGCCAACGCGTACATGGACGCTGGTTGGATATTTGATTTTGAGCCAATGACCTTCGTGTTGACACACATTTGAATTTCCTCCAATCAAGAGTGCGCTAATTTCGGGGCCCTGTTTCTGCGTTCGGTAGCAGATTGCGAGTGCGATTTTGACTGCTGAATACTGTGGTATCCTAGTCCCATTTCCTGTGCTTCATGAATTCAACCATCTTCACAAATGCCTAGACCACCGTCTAGGTCAAATTAATCGGGGTCATCATTCCTGCTGTTACCAGAGAATTATCCCATCTAAGGCTAGATAACTAATCCACATCACATGACAGGACTTGCATAATTCATTAGTCAGTGACTCAAGTAAAACTGAAAGACTTGTGTCAGGTTGGTTTGGCTCAATCTTTGTCACGGACACCGAAAATACTTGACGTCATTACACTCCCCCCCGCCGCTTTCATTGAAATAATTTGCACTGCAGTGCTAACGGTCAATGCATCACTGAGAAACCATAGATAGAAACCCTATATGGATGTTTCACTGGGCTCGATAGGAGGAATCATTTGCGTCGCATACGCATCCGAGCTTAAGACTGCCAAAATTTTGACTCACAGGGTCATTGGCCCTACATATGCTGACAGGATGGAATGTAACTTGAATTCAGTGGTTGGCATCTAACCCACTCTGCGACTTATAGCTCTGATTCATCCCTGGTATTGAATGCG